GATAATATTGAGATCTTGGACGTTAATAACAAATTTTTAAATAAAAATATATTAAGTTTAATTTTCAAAACAACAATGATTTATATAAAAAATTATCATTTAATACTAATAATTTTAGAATTAAAAAGCTAAAAATATAATTTTTTAATTTAAGAGATCAAACTAAAATATTGTATAAAATTAAAAGAGCAAATGTGATTTTAACATTGAGATTATTATTATCATTAGTGGTATCATTATGATAATATTATTGTATGAATAGAGAATTAATTGAAATGACGTTGCTGACGTAATGATCATACTCCTATTTCTGAAGTCATCCCGGCTCGTCCCTGGCCTCTGCTTTGGGCGTTTTGGGCGCGTTCAGATTGGCATTATGCTGGAAAGCATGATCAGTTTCCCATGCGTGTAGCTCTTTTCGGATTCTCCATTTTAAGGAGTACCATAGGTAATTAGTTACTAATGTTAATGCTTAAATAGATCTTTTTTTGAACCTGCACTTGCATGCCTCGAAGCATAAATAAATAATAATTCATTTACCATTCGACTCCTTATTATAAGTTGCTTATAGAAGAAATATTTTTAGTTCGAAACATAAGTTCATTTAGAGGGTTGTTACTTATTAATAATTATTTTTTCAATCTTAACCTTATTTAATTATCACTGGGAAGAAAAGAAAGAAAGAAGATTCAGAGTTAATAATGATTTGATGAATTGTTCTCATAAATAATAAATCAACGGTGCAATCATGCATTCAAGAAAAAAATTAAAATTAAAAGGGAAAATCCCAAAAAAGTGATAGCTGAATTTCAAAATTCTAAATCAGTATTAGTTATTACACTCATAAAGAAAATGATTACATTCAAAGAGCAAATAACAACCCATTTTTGTAGTAATTCCTGATTTGGTATTTTGAAATTCAGTAATCACTTTTTTGGGATTTTCCCAAATTAAAATATACATTTAGTGTTTTAAGTTTATATAAGGTTTTAATTTGGTCTCTTAGCTTTAAAAAAACATGCATTTTATCCTTTAATTCTAAAATTATCAGCCTAACTGACTATTTTTTGTAATAATCATAATTTTTTTAAAAATTAAATATATTATGTTAATATTTGGGAATGTTTTATCAATATTTAAAATCTTACTGTTTTTTTTGTTGGGAATTTTACGGTTAATAGATTAAAAATATATTTTTTAAAATTAAATGACCAAATTGAATTTGTAATGTTAAAAAATGGTATGCATTATGCACACACCTTATTTTTATTAACCGTAAATTAAATGACCAAAATTAAATGACCAAATAAATCGGTATGTATTATGCACACACTCTATTTTTATTTAATCATATCACAAATTTCCAGGAAAAAGGATTAAAAAAATACTAGTTGAATTCCAAAATGATAAATAACTAATTTTAATATATTTTAACTTGTCAAAACTATTACAATAGTAATCAAAACTATTACAAAAATAGTCAGCATAACTTATTTATCTCTTTGAAATTCAATAGATTTTTTTTGTTTTTTTCCATTATTTTGTCGTCTTAATTCTCCTGTTAATTTGTGGTTGAGCACACGTGTCTTATGTAAAATTACAAACTGAGTCGAGTCCTATTATTATTTATGATATATATATATAAATAATATGATATGGCTATTTTCTAAATGAGTAATATTTCATGTGGAAGGTCAACATTTTAATTTTTGTTTCTTTAATTTGCCGGACCCTCTTTTTTTTCTTTTTGGATAATAGGACCCAACCTCTTGGACTCAGTCGGATGCAACCGGCTATGGTCTCACAAATACACCTGGTTTAAAGGTAATAAATTTTTTTTTGTCTAAAATTTTAAACTAATCTTTTCATTTTACCCTCATTATTTTATATATATATATATATATATATATACACACACATTTCACTTATTATTCATGTGCAATAAATTATTCTTATTTATACTAAATATTTACTCATTATCTCTCTTTTAGTTTTTTCATAAGTAAGGGAAAAAATTACTTACATATTTGTTGCTTTTAATTAAATTTAACTAATATTTTGAATAGTATGCTTTTTTTTTTTGGTAAAAGAATAGTATGATTTTGATAGTTAATCCTCATGAAAAGAAACGGAATGAGTAATGAGATGGGCAATCAAGAAAGTCCAGCATAAGACAGATAGATGGCGGGGTTCTTTAACTTCCTTGTTTGCTTTATTCTGTCTTACACCAAGAAAAGAATAATATGGCCAGAAGTGTAGAAAGGAAGCAGACTTGTTTGGAGCAACAAGAAGTAAGGAAGCTATATACACACACATATTATTCTGTTACTATTCATAAGTTATTTGTAGGGAAAAAAGTTATTTTATAAATATAAGTAACTTGTAAGGTAATTAATAATTTTTTTTAAATTTTGTCCCTATCGACTTAATAAATGTCGAGATAAATATAAAACATAGGAATAATTATAATGAGATCCTAAGAAAAGAAAATGAATACTAAAAGTTCCAGTAACAAGTTAAAAGTTGTCATTCCCTACTATAGAATTTATCATTATAAGTTGATTGGTTGTCATTAGAATGTTTTAGTAATTATATTTCTTTCTTGAAACTTTATTGCAATTCTTCCTAAAACATATTGTTAATACCCTTTCTTTAATAAGGGCAATTTTTTTTAAAAAAAATACCAATTTAATTAAATAGGACCGTGTTCCATTCAAGTTAATTATTTAATACGTTTTATATAATTTACAGATAAATCTGTCTGTGAAAATTTAAACAAAAAGAAGAAGAAACACGAAAAGAGAAATGAAGGGATGATGATCCAAAAAGAAGAAACTAATTGTCTTTCCCTTTCTCTGTTTTTTTTTTTAGGGGAATTACTTTTCCCCACTTGTTGACTTGTCTTCAATGGATGATGCGATAAAAGTGAAGAACATGGATGGATTACATTCCAAGCAAGTGAGACAGACAAAAAGAAAAGTAGGAAGCATCTGATTCGTTTGGAATTTCTGTTAATCAAAATGGCACAATTAAAATTCAAATGCAAATCAGCTAATTGTGCTTTCCTTTGGCTTTCAATTCCCTCATATATACACGAAAGTTTATAAATAATATATAAGGATTATATATTTCTAATACATATTTTCATATGCAATTGTACATTGGCCATTAGAATAGGAGATCGGGAAATATCACTAAATTTTATGTAATTATCTTTTTGTTTTAATATAATTGATCATTTGATCAGAGTATAATAATAATATGGTATGTATTATGCACACACTTTATTTTTATTTAATCATATCACAAATTTCCAGGAAAAATGATTTAAAAAAATACTATTTGAATTCCAAAATGATAAATAGCTAATATTAATATATTTTAACTTGTCAAAACTATTACAAAAAATAGTCAGCATAACTTATTTATCTTTTTGAAATTCAATAGATTTTTTTGTTATTTTCCCATTATTTTGTCGTCTTAATTAATAATTCTCTTGTTAATTTGTGGTTGAGCACGGGTGTCTTATGTAAAATTGCAAACTGAGTCGAGCCCTATTATTGTTTATGATATATATATATATATATATATAAATAATATGATTTGCTATTTTCTAAATGAGTAATATTTCATGTGGAAGGTCAACATTTTAATTTCTGTTTCTTTAATTTGCCGGACCCGGCCTCTTTTTTTTCTTTTTGGATAATAGGACCCGGCCTCTTGGACGCAGTCGGATGCAACCGGCCATGGTCTCACAATGCACGTGGTTTAAAGGTAATAAATTTTTTGGTCTAAAATTTTAAACTGATCTTTTCATTTTACCCTCATTATTATATATATATATATATAGATACACACTTCACTTATTATTCATGTGCAATAAATTATTCTTATTTATACTAAATATTTACTCATTATCTCTCTTTTACTTTTTTTATAAGTAAGGGAAAAATTACTTATATATTTGTCGCTTTTAATTAAATTTAACTAATATTTTGAATAGTGTGATTTTGATAGTTATTCCCGATGAAAAGAAACGGAATGAGTAATGAGATTGGTAATCAATAAAGTCCAGCATAAGACGGATAGATGGCGGGGTCCTTTTTTTTGTTGGAAAAAAGTTTAGGTGGACTGAGTTCCAGAGGTTCACCAGGATCAGGGTATGTTTCAGACTAAGAGAACACTTACAAAGGTACTTAAAGATCGTCTACCAACAAGGTCCTCACATCGGCAGTGACATTTGAACTTACAACTTTATAGGTTATGAGTCGACTCTTTACCAACTAGACTAACTTTTGTTGGCAGATGGCGGGGTCCTTTAACTCCCTTGTTTGCTTTATTTTGTCTTACACCAAGAAAAGAATAATTTGGCCAGAAGTGTAGAAAGGAAGCAGACTTGTTTGGAGCAACAAGAAATAAGGAAGCTACATAACGACGCACACGAATGTTACTCTGTTACTATTTATAAGTTATTTGTAGCAAAAAAAAAAGTTATTTTCTAAATATAAGTAACTTGTAGGATAATTAATAAATTTTTTTAAGTTTTATCCTAAACGTAGAGAGAGATAAGATAAATATATGAGAGAAATATAAAGTATAAGGATAATTACAATAAGGTCCTTAGAAAAGAAAATAAATACCAAAAATATTTCAATAACAAGTTAGAAGTTGCCGCTCTTTATTATAAAACTTATTATGATTACAGACTGCTCAGTTGTCATAGAATTTTTTAGTAATTATATTTCTTTTTTGAGGCTTTATTGTAATTCTCCCTAAAACATATTTGTTAGTGCTCTTTCTTTAACAAAGGCAACTGTTAAAAAAAAAAATACCAATTCAATATGTTTTTGGTATAAGTAAGTTATAAATAGGAACGGAGTGATATATAAGAAACAGCAATATAATAGTGGTGTGTGTTAGATGGAGCCTATATATAGATCTCTTCTGCAGAGATCCTGTTGAATTGTGTGCGCGTGTCTGTCTATACACATCGGAGAGAGATGAATTTGGATGGGGAGGTTAAGAAGAATGAGGCAATTAGAGAATTGCGTCTTGGGTTAAGGATGCGCAATTGGGGGGCTGTGCTGCGCACAATGAGGGGCCTGCCGCCATGTGCGGAGCTGTGGCTGGCCAAGATGAACAAGTGGGCTGACACTGTGCTGCACGCAGCTATCATTTATGGGACACCACCCCGCACCGTCGATGAGCTGTTCGAAGAAATGCCCAGACGTGAAGAAGACGTCGTGGAGATTCTGTCAGCCAGGAATCAGTGGGGCAACACTCCTCTTCACTGCGCCGCCGATAGGGGCTCTTCCCCCTTGTGTCGCCGCATCCTTGATGCCCTTTCCACCGCACAACACAGAACCCGCGCCGTAATTAATTCAATCTCTTTTATTGATTACATGATGCACACGCATCTGCGTGATGAGATTGAATCTTAATTATTCTGTTTTTAATTAAAAACATGCTTCATGATTCTTTTTTTAAAATTATTTTTTAACGATATTAATGGTCTGAACTAAAATATATATTTTTAAATTTGAGAGAAAATATGTGTAATTATAGCAAAATAAATTAGTGGTTAGAATATTTCACTCTAATTATTAACGTTGCAGAGTGTAACTAGCATAGAGAGGGGCAAGGGGGCATCCATCTCTAGTGCTTCAACTTTTGAAATGTTTTTTCTCCCCCTATTCATTATTAGATTTTACAAAAAATAGGTGACATATATCTAATGCTGCAGTTTTGAATTCTTCACAATTTCTAGATATATAGATATATATATAGATATATATTAACTGTGCAGTTTTAGATATTTTTAAAAAAAATATTAAAAAATTTAGGTTCATACAATTGTTTGTCCTTCAAATTTGTTTTTATTTTGGTTTAGGTCTCTCAAGTTTCTTTCCGTTTAAAATATTGGTTCCTATAATTCAACAAAAACTTAAACCGTCTTGTCTATTGAATGGCCAAAATCTATAGTTTGAAACTTAAGAGACCAAAATTAAAATGAGAACAAATTTGAGTTATCAAAGATTATATTAACCCAAAAAATTTAAACTCACATTATTTTATACTATATATTGAGACGTCACTTGTTTTATATAAAATTTAAAACTTATTGATGATGATGATGATGATATTGAATGCTGATTATTAAGCTTCTGGTGCGCAACAACGAGGGAGAGACGCCTTTGTTCTTGGCTGCTGTTCATGGTCACCCGGCGGCCTTCCTCCTTCTCTATGACTATGCAGGACATGAGCATGCCACAGCTCCTTGCGTGAAGCCCAATGGGGAATCTGTACTTCACGTGACCATTCAGCGAAAGTACTTCGGTCTGTGATTTTACTTATTTTAAAAATAAGTTAGTTAATTAGGTCTTCTACTCCCTTCACCATAAAATGTAAGTTACTTTTTAGAAATTTTTTTTAATCCATAGTATAAATTATTCTGAGAATAATGAATACTTATTTGCTAATTTTATCCCTTTAATTAATGCTTAAATATGAATCCTCATATTTTTCTCTCTTTCTTTCAAATCCTTAATAATTGAAGACGGGTTTAATTACAAGTTATTTTTTCTTCCATAGTTCTAATGATGATATATGTTTAAAAAGGACTAATATATTTTGGACCAGAGGTATTGTTTGTCTAGGATCGAACGGAATGGAATAATACGTTATTCCAAATGACATTCTATGATGGTTTAGTTAATTAATGGAATCCTTTGCTTGATAAATAGTACTAAAGTATATACTACTTCCAATTTTTAACATAGGAATCAGTTAAAAATTTAATTGAGTCATAAATATAAGACCTCAATTAACTTTTTTTTTAATACTCCTATGGTCCTATTTATAGGGCAAAGAGAGAAGGTTTTTTTTAGTCTTATTTATAAGTCATTTCAGTAAATTTTTATCATGAACGTATTATATTGTCATTCATTTATTATAGTGTAGATAGTTGTTTTTTTTTAAAGGAATATGTATTAAATATGGATAAAGTTAGAAAGTTGCTATATTTTAATAAAGAGTTAATGCAGTTTAAGATTTTTCTTGGTTTGTGTGAAACATGTTAGAAATGCCTTATAAATACCAAAGGAGTATTTATCTATTTTTCCTTTGATTGATTTTTATGGTGATTGCACATGTCGAGGAGTTACTATAGTAATTCAAGTACCCATGATTAACAAGGCTGTGTCAAGAAAAAATAACATATATTTATTTCAAATGACTAATTTAAATAATTTTCTTAATATACATAAATTAGTTAGTTATCTAGCTTTTTATATAGTAATATAGTACCTCTGATTTTAAATATAAGAGTTGGTTGACTAATTTAAGTAGATTAAGAAAATAGGTTAAGTTAGTTATTTATAATACTCCTCCGATCCTAAATGTAAGACCCTTATACACACTTAAGGGTCTTACATTTAGGACCGGAAGAGTAAGTAGGTATTATCTTCCCTAAAATATCTTTACTAATCAAATATATTGGTTAAAACTATCATTATTAGAAAGACTACTAAAAAAATACATAAATATAAGAGACAAAATAGATTGAGGTCTTATATTTAGAATTAAAATAAAAGTCAAACTAGATTTTATATTAAGAACAAGATACAATAATTGAATTGAATTCATCTTTAATGCAGAATTATCATTGCTATTAATGCGTCTACTTCCCGGCATGATTTCCATCATCGATGAAAAAGGGCAGGCACCTCTGGACATCCTGGCCTCTATTCCTTCGGCATTTAGGAGTGGCACTCCCCTTAGTTTGTGGGAGAGTCTTCTCTACCACTGTAAGTGCGCCCACCTCCATCAATCCATCTGGAATTTTAATTAATTTTCTTTTTTTATTTAGTTTTATTTTTATTAATTAATTACTATCTTTAACCTTTAATATAAGAGTTACTAAACTAACTAATAGATTAAAAAAATTATTTAAACTAGTTATTTGTAACAAATATGAGTTTATTTTCTTAAAGTATTTTTTTTAATATAATCATGACTATCTTTAACTGAAAATTCTTTGATATACGTAATTAATATAAGTATTTTAAAAAGTAAATTAGAAAGTACAAAAAAAAAAAGTGAATTAAAGTTAGGATTCCTTGGGTCATAATTTTCCACCCCACCTTCTCTCCTCATGCGAAGTCATGTCTGATGCGGCCGCTCATTCAGCTTTTGTCCCCCCCCCCCCCTATGGCCAAGTTGGATACAGCAATGGATGACAAGGATAAAATTTCTAAAAGGAGTTTTTAATTTTTTGAGTGGAAAAATTTATAAAGGGAATCAATGTTAACATTTTAAAGGCAGTTAAATATGTAGAAACTGAGTCGTACTCAATCATAATTAAATCACTGGTCATGACTGACTTAAAAGTTAAAGCAGCCGAGAAGATTAATTTTTCTTAATTAAAATGATGTTGCTGTCGTAATGATCATACTCCTATTTCTGAAGTCATCCCGATTTGTCTCCCGGATTTTGCTGGACAACCTGATCAGCTTCCCACCCATGAAGCTCCCTTCGGATTCTCCTTTTTAAGAAGTACCACAGGTAATTAATTATTAATTTTAATGCTTAATTAGATCTTTTCATTTACCAATATTCGACTCCTTATTATAAGTTGCTTATAGAAGAAATATTTTTAGTTCGAAACATAAGTACATTTGAGGGGTTATTACTTATTAATAATTATTTTTCAATCTTACTCTTATTTAATTATCATTGGAAAGAAAAGAAAGAAAGAAGATTCAGGGTTAAAAATTATTTATACATACAGGGAGAGAATTTTAATAAGAATAAACTTGATCAAAAATTATCAATTTGAGGCATATTTAGTTATAATTTAACTATATGTGAAAATTAGTTAAAAAGGATTTACATATGGAAGTAGGAAGACTTGTCTGGAATTATGATTATAAGCACTTTTAATGACGTACGTTTTATGTAAGTCGAAACAAAACTCCTCACATATATGTACCTCGTATTTTATAAATTACGATTAAAAAATGACTCAAAAGCTTAACATGTTTGTCTGTGGTTGGCAGAGAAGAAAAGGAGACATGTATTTGGTGGGCAGATCATGAAACAACTGCTAGACAATGACGATTTTTTTGATGATTTGATGGAGATGGAGTTGCTGGGGAGGGATGACGATCATCCGGCGAACTTACCAACGCTAGGTCCTTCATATCAAGGTACTTTTAATCATATACGTTTCATGTAAGTCGTAACAAAACTCCTCGCATATTATTCACCTTGTATTTTATAGATCACAACTAAAAAATGACTCAAAAGCTTAACACGTCTGTCCGTGGTTGGCAGGGAAGAAAAGGAGACATGTACTTGGTGGGCGGATCATGGAACAACTGGTAGACAATGACGCTTTTTTCGATGATTTGATGGAGATGGAGTTGTTGGGGAGGGATGACGATCATCCGGCGAACTTACGAAGGCTAGGTCCTTCATATCAAGGTACTTGGATCCTAAAAATAAATTAAAAAAATGACTTTATTTAATTAATTTTATTATTTTTGTCTACATGTGGGTAACTGATAATAAGTGTGCGTGCGCATGCAGCATCATTATTAAGATGGACACCATTGTTGAGAGCAACAAAACATGGTGCGACCGAAATGGTGTGGGCAATCTTGGGAAAAAAGCCGTTTGCAATTGAGGATGAAACTGACGAGAAGAAGAATGTCATGTTGGTGGCGGTAGAAGAGAGACAGTCAACCCTATTGGAGCAATTCAAGAAGAACCCATCCATCTGGAATCGGAAGCTTCACCATGCATCCGACGTCCATGGCAATACTGCCCTGCACTTGGTCGCCAAGCCTTCTCGTCATAGGCTTATGGATACGTATGTCCTTCACTTGCAATGGGAAATCAGCTGGTTTGAGGTGTGTGTATATATATACTTCTTCGGTTCTAAATATAAAACCTATTTTATAGTGTAATTTACATTACAAAATGGGTTTTATATTTAGTATTAGAAGAATATATATGATCACTTAGCTTAATTAATACGAGTAATTTGTAGCTATCATTCAACTGTACATACGTTTGTATTTATGTATGCAGTATGTGAAGGAAATGATGCCGCCGGAGTTCATTAAACGGAAAAATAAGGAAGGCAAAACGCCGGTGATGGTCTTCGAGGAGGAACACCATGATCTGGTGCAAAAAACCAACCAATGGGTGAATCAAATACCCGGAAATTACATAGTGGCGGCGACGCTTATGTCCGGCGTTACCTTTGGAACGTGCTACCAGATCCCGGGAGGCTACGACGAAGGCAACGGCAGGCCGATTGTAGGCAACCGTTATGAATTCCTCATATTTGTTATCACGGCACTGGTTTCCTTTGGCTCCTCCGTCATTTCCCTCGCCGCCTTTCTCGCCATTTACGGCTCTCAAAGTGATCGGCCCGATCGCTACCGAAGACATCTGCCGCGGACTCTGTGCTTGGGTTTATCTTCTCTGTTTCTCTCAGTTTTGACCATGTTGATTTCTTTCTGTGCTGCGCAAACCTTTGAACTTGTTGGCCCCATAAACAAGTTGTCTGTGTATGTCCCCGTGTACGTTGGCTTGGCTTTGATCCCTTCCTGCTTTTACGGGGCAACTCAATTTCCACTCTATCGGCGTCTTCTCAAAGCTAGTTTTTCTCGTGTGCCACTCTCCAGAGGTAGAGGAGAAGAACAAGAAGAAGAAAGATAAAGACGAAGGGAAGAACAAGGAGAAAAATGAAGACGCAGAGGCATTGGAAGAGAGGTTTAAATAGCTTTTATGCTTTCTTTTGCAAAATAAAGAGAATTTTATTATGTGACACAGTAGTATTTGATTATCTACAAATAACTTTATTTTGTTTTAGGTCAAAATAGAACTTTGCTAATGGTTTTTTTGCGGGGTCTACAAATGTATCCAATTTCACCAACTCAGGTGATAAATCTCAAACTCATTATGTCTCAACCGTCTAGATTAAAAATTTTTAATTAATTATTTTTAAATAAAAATATTTTTTGAAAAAAATAATAATTAAAAAATTATTTTTATTTTAGATGGAAACGAAATCAAATATCAACCGCCCAAATCATGTTTGAACAATCCAGATATAATAAGCTTGTATATTCATTATTTTGATGAGCAGCCGAACCCGTTTCCTCATTTCACCACATCAAAGCATGCATGTGGTTCACGTCCTGGTTCTGGAATGAATATTTATCATTGACTCCTCGATTGGTTTTCTGTTGCTATGAAGGATGAGGTTCACATCATGACTACTTTCTTGGAACAAGATGTTAGAATTGAGATGAAGATGATGATCAAAGGGTTTCGAAACAAGAAACATTTTGAAAAAGAAACAAAAAGAAAATCAAAATGATCCAAAACATGCATGAAACACGAAAAGCAAACGAACAAACGTGTCATTTAATTTTCTCTTTCTCTTTCCTTTTTGAAAGGAATCAGTATCTTTTATTTTTCCTTGAACTGAAGGCAGGAAGCATAGGCATTTTTTTTTTGAAAAAGAAACAAGCATCTTTTTTTAAAGAAAAAAACAGAAAGAGAAGAAGAAAATCAAAATCACCCAAGACATGCATGAAACACGAAAAGCAAACAAACAAACGTGTCATTCAATTTTCTCTTTCTCATCAGGTATCTTTTTATTTTTCCTTGAACATGCAGGAAGCATAAGCATTATTTTTACTTTAAAAAACTTATACTTGAAATATCCCTTAAAATGGAAAAAAAAGTATACATATAGTGATACTCCCTCTAATTTTTAATATAGGAACTAATTAGGATTTGAATTTGATCATACATATATAACAGCTCGATCCATTTAATTAGTTTCTCATATTTATCATTTTTAAACTAATTTAGACATTTTATAAACTGATATATAATCTAATATTACACAGGGATATTTTTGGAAGATTAAATCTCATGAATTATAATTGATAAACTTACCTAACTTTTTAATCTACTCAAATTTAATGGTAAAGACCAGAAGTAGTGTTATTTACCGTCAAATTGAAACTTGCATGATAAGATGAATTGCCCAGCCCTCTTTTTTCTTTTGGTAAAGCCACACCGATGTGCAGCTTGTTTATGTTGATCTTAAAGCAGACAAGTGGAATATATGAAAAAGGGGCCCACATTAAGATTTTCAAGGTTATTATAATATAGATTCTTTCCAGCGGATGAGACGAAAGTAATATTCCTCCCATCATGGGGCCATGATATTATACGGCTTTAGCTTGCCTACTTAAATCATCACAAAGGCCCGTCTGGTCTCAGTCATCATTAATTAATTCCTGCTGATGGCTCCATCGATCCCTTGCACCCCCACATAAGATAGTCGTGAAATCAGTTTTAGTTTGAATCGGCAGAGTTCCATTTTTTTCCCCCCAAAATGGAATGGCTCGATTTGATGACGAGCAAGGAAATGGAACTGCGTTCTGCAGTGAAGAATCGAAAATGGGAGCGTGTTGTGGAAATTTACATTAATGAACCAGAGGTTCAGAAGAGCCGGATCAACACGTGGGGAGACACGGCACTGCATGTGGCCATTGAGACAGAGGACATTACTACTGTCACACGATTGATCCGTGCAATCAAATCCCGCCGGCTGGGAGGTGAAGAAGCCCTAGACATTCTGTCACTGAAAAATGGCACAGGCAATACTCCTCTTCACTGCGCAGCCCCTCGTGGCTCTGTCCTCATCTGTGATCGCATCACAAAACTGTTCCACAAATCACTGGTAATGAGAAGAATGATGTCTTTCTTTGTGCAACTTCATCACTTAAAGGGAATTAATCTCAACTGTAATATTAATATATTGAACCCTGCAGATTGGGGTGCGTAATGACAACGAAGAGACTCCTCTCTTCTTGGCTACTCTTCATGATCACCGAAAGGCCTTCGTCGTTCTCCACCGTGCCGCCGGTGAAGATAGCCAACGGTATTGGAGAAGGAACAACAGTGACACTATGCTTCATTGCACTGTTAGGAGAGAATACTTCGGTACGGACACCAGTGCATTAACTAGCTATCTAATCAAACAAGGGCTACTAACCAGCTAGCTGGGTGGCTAATTTTTATTCTTTTGGTGCACTACTTGCAGAATTGTCGTTGATTATAATTCAATGTTGCCGAGGCATCTCACTCCTTCCCAATGAGAAGGGCGAGTCATCTCTGGCAATCCTCGTGTCTACTCCCTCTCCATTCATCAGGGCATTCCTCTTAGGCAGCGGGAGAAACTTTTCTTCCGTTGTGAGTACAAGCGCATTATTTCCATATATGTTTAATTATTCAAGTTAGAATAATTAATAAGGTTATTATTGTGTGTGATCCATCATTATCATCTAACCATAAGGATACATGCATGCATCATCATAAAGTCATTTATGCTGAAGAGCCAAATCCTCCCACCACTACAAAAAAAAAAAAAGACTTTAGGCGACGACTTTCGGCGGCGACAAGAAAAGTCGCCTCTGAAAGTGGACTTCCAGTGGCGACACTAAAAAGTCGCCGCTGAAACTAAGACTTTTAGCAGTGACTTTTTTTGTCGCCAATGAAAGTATACCTTTGAGTTGAAGGTGATGTAATCACTGGGTTCACTTTTAGTGGCGACATTCTATGGTCGTCGTTGAAAGTAGACTTTTAGCGGCGGCTATTAGTGTTGCAGCTGAAAGTCTGACTTTCAGTAGTGACATTTTATTGTCGCGGCTAAAAGTATACCTTTGAGTGGAGGGTGATTAATCACTGGGTTTACTTTCAGCGGCAACTATTAGTGTCGCTGCTGAAGGTCTGACTTTCAGCGGCGACTTTATAATCTCGCTGCTGAAAATGTAATATACTAATATATATATTTTATTTTACAATAGTAATAAACAAATTCAATCCAACTCAGTGGTAAGAAGATTGGATACGAAAGGAGGTGGTCACGATTTCGAACCTTGAAGAAGACACATTTAAGGTGAAAATATTTGGACGATGACGTGGCAAGGAGTGATGTGGCAATGACATGGAGGTGGATAGTGATGACATGGCACCTGGTCGGTGATGAGGTAGAGGTGGCTAGTGATGACATGGCAGTCGACAATGATGACGTAGCGGGCGGTGATGATGACGTGGCGTTGGTAAAGCCAATTCTTCCTAGGCAACGACTTTTCAGCGGCGACTTTTTTGTCACCGCTGAAAAGTCAATATTTTTGTAGTGCGTTGATGATGATCATCATCATGGAGAAGAAAGTATTGTCGATGTTGAAGATCCTGAGATGACGATGGATGAGGAGCAACCGACCGACAAAAAGTGTTACAGATGATATTCGTCGTACCTTTGAAGCTGTTTTCAGATTCTTTATTAGCACGCACCCTACTAGCTATTAATTGATTCGACTTGATCTGCTTGCTATATTAATTAATGAAATGGACACATAATAATAAGAAACATATATGACTGACCAAAGAGTTACTAATGTACATATATTTGTATGCAGAGAATATATGGAGACGCCTACTTGGTTTGAAGATCATGAAACTTCTTGTAGACGGAGACCGTTGGTATGACGCCATCGTGGATTTAGACGTACTTTATGTGTTCTTAAAGTCGGCTCATGAGGAAGCATCCAAAGAGCCACCAACCTTTTCACGGCCAGCGGACCGGCGGGAACACAGCGGTAATTAACAAAACTATATATTATTAATTTAAAATTAATTAATAACCGACCAGGGGTAAGAAGTTTGTCTGAATTTCTTTCTTTTTGAATTTGATGGAGTGAAGGGGCTGAAGAAGTATGGACGGCATTGTTGGGCGCAACTAGAAACGGTGCGACGGAGATGGTGAGGGAAATCCTGAGACAGAAGCCTTTTGCGATATATGATGAAACCAGGGAGAAGAAGAACATAGTGCTGGTGGCAATAGAGGCGAGGCAATCAGATATATTGAAGGAATTGATGAAGCACGCAAGTTGGAATGACAAGCGCCTCAGGCATGGAATGGAACAACGTTAAGTTAGGTAAATTTGCTGGGAGGAAAATGATAAATATGAAAAATGAATTAAGTAGATTGAGGTGTTATGTATTTATGATCACATCCCAACCTCAACTATATCCTATATTAAAAATTAGAGGGAGTATATGTGTTTTTTTTTTTTTCCATTTTAAGGGATACATCAAGTTTTTTTTTTTAAGGTAAAAATATTATTTATGCTTCCTGTCTTCAGTTCAGGGAAAAAAGATATGCTTCCTTTAAAAAAGAAAGATAAAATTAAAAGACACGCCTGTTTGTTTCTTTTTCGTGTTTCATACATGTTTTGGATCATTTTGACTTTCTTCTTCTCCCTTTTTTCAAAAAGAAAGAAAAAACTTGTTTTAGACCATTTGATCATCATCAACATCAACTTAATTCTAAAACCTCTTGGTCTTGCTTCAAGAAAGTAGTCATGAACCTTATCATTAATAGCAACAAAAATCTAAAGCCTGTTTGGTTCAACCTCATTATAGGTTTGCAATGGCAATCAAAATTGCATTGCCGAAAAAAAATGTTTTGTTGCTTTTTAGCTTGGTAATGGATTTTACCATGATAATGTAGTAACGTTGTTTACCTAAAATTTGGTAATATCCATCATATGAATCTTCATTACCACTTATTGTCTGTTTCAAAAAGTCGTATTTACGTACCCTCAAGTCACATTCATACCATGTTCTTCTAGTTAGCCCCCCCCCCCAACCGGCACCGCCACCAACCAGGAAGTGTTTTCTCCCACTCCAGCCCCTCTATATTTTCTCCCACCATTATTATCATCTCATTCTTCTCCTTTGTCTCCCTCCTTCCATTAACATCGTTATCTCCATCCTGGGCCATTGTTCAAAGTTATGAAGGCCAGGCTCCGCCTCCCTCTCTTCAGATCTCCCCATGAACATTTGAAGATGTCAACGAATCTCTCTCAAAAAAATTTTTTTTAGTATGTCTTCCTGTGGATCAGTTTTCTCGAGATATTAGATGTAGATTAACTATGACAAGCTTCATATATTCTGTATGTGATTTATATCTTCCTATATGGAAGATTATATTAATTTTATTGTTTTTACTCTGTACGTACAATTTGAACCCACATTTAAAACTTGATTTATGTATCTCCTCCCTTTCAAGTTATATTTGCTATTGTGTGACTTTGCCGCTTTGTTGATTCTTGTCTGGGTTTTGCATTGACGCTAGTGTTTCAGCGAAGGAAGAAGACTATTGGGTTCCCTACAGTTTGGTTCAATTGCAGACTCCCTTGGGCATGCATTGGAGCGCAATGGAATGGAATGCATGCAATGCAATTAAGTTCATCCGTTCAAGGGGTCAATGATAAACCTCCATTCCACTATGTCACCCTCATCATCCCTAAGGACTCCTCCACACCCAGCAGGATCAGGATTACCTCTGCTAGTGCCATCAGAGTTCGCCTTCACCCACCCTTTCTTTGGTCTCGTCCAAGTGACCGGTACAGTAGAATCACCCTTATTCACCATCAAGTTCTTTAATGGTTTGAATTTTCTTTTCACTAGTTTAATATATGTTATTGTTGCTTGTCGCTTTCTTGTGTAAAATTAAAATTCCTACTTGAACCGTGTATGTTATATTATATTTAATTAATTATAAAGGAATTAAGACCAATGATATTATTTTTATGTAATGTGTAACCTATGGAGCAAAAGGATAGTGATAACAAAGCAAAGTATGAATGCAAACCCTGTGTAGTTGTGTTTCCCCTTCCAAAAGGAAAAGTCATTTGAAAACTCAAATCAAAGAAGACATGAATCACGTCTGTATATAGTAATATGAAAGGAAACCTCTATGTACAACCACCCACACACTCATATACATATATATATATATATATATTTCTCTAGTCGTAAATATAAGACCTTTTTTATAGTATAATTTATACTATAAAAAGGTTTTTATATTTAGGACCGGAGGAGTATATATATATATAATATATGTACATGGCTAGACATAAGAGAAGAGAAATCCAGAAATGGAGGTGAGGAGGCAAGAACTGTGCAAAGCCGTGTTGGGACAAAAATGGGATGAAGTTGCAGAGTTAGACAGAAGTCATCCACAGATTCAGGCTATGAAGATCACCAAATGGGAAGACACTGCACTGCACGTGGCGATCAGTCTGGGAGCACCAGAAGACGAGGTTGTAAACCTGGTTCAAGAGATTGAACACACCAACGTTAACAACCTCGAAGTTGCCATCAAAACCTTGGAAGCTACGAATGATCAACAAGATACTCCTCTGCATTATGCTGCCACACGAGGTTGTCCCTCTATATGTAAGCAAACATTGATGGTCCATGAAACCTTGGCTTGTAAGCCTAACAAGCTAGGTGAAACGCCTCTGTTCTTGGCCGCTCTCAATGGCCGCAAACGTACCTTTCTCTATCCTCATTCAGTTTGCAGGAAGATGCAGAACAGGAGCACAGAATTATTATGGCGTCCATGGTGGAGAAGGGCTAATGGAGACACTATACTTCACTGCACAATTCAAAGAGAATACTTTGGTATGAGTTTTAAGTCCAATAATCCCATTATTTCAGGTTAATTACAGAGAACAAAACTTGGTATATACATTAATGATCCATGCATGATCTGGGACAGATCTTGCACTTGATATCATTCATCTGTATCAAGACCAGAATATTGCCAGCGTTAGGAATAATGATGGAGTTACGCCTCTTCATGTCCTTGCCTCCATTCCTTCTGCTTTCAAAAGCGGTACTCCGCTGTCCTTGTGGGACAAACTTCGTTACAGTTGTGAGTATAATTTGCTCTCAATTACAATACATGTATATTATAATACCTCTGATCCTAAATATAAGAGCTTGTTGGACATTTAATTTGGTCTTAAATATAAGACCCCAATTTATTTTATGTCTCATATTTATTCATTTCTCCCGAGGTAGTCTAAATTATAATTGCACATATTAAAATATTTTCATTCTACTATACATCATTAATAAAAGTATTTTAGGGATGACAACATTTATGTATTATATATAACTAATTTAACTAATTTTTTTAATATCCAAAAATTCGTTATTTAGCTCGTATACACATCGAATCACTTGATTTTGTGTTCTTCATTTTTATTTCCACTTATGTTTTTAATGGAAAGTACTGAAGTGAAGGCTTTCTTTATGTAAAGACATTGATGTAGAAAAGCTGAGAATTGAGGCTAACGTGGAGGGCCACGTTCTGGAGGTTGGAAATTCTGTCTGGTTGAAAGTTGATGATGATCCAACAATAGGCCATCATAGTCAAGGTTGGCGCTTTATTTTTTGAACGAATCAAATGAATGGTTAATACAATCACTTGGCTGACTAATACTGTATTAACGACTCTAATTTCTTTTTGGGTTCATGTCTGGAAATTAAAGGTTCAATGAGGAGAATGAAAGAGAAACATATGGGTTGGGCAGATCATGAAGGAACTTCTGCAACGAATTTGTGAGTATGATTACAGCCAAGATGACAGTCTTGGGGATAAACAGAACCAGCAAGGTATAATATAATTATATAAACCAAAGTTAAAAGGCAGTTCTTCAACTTATTCTAGCTTTATTTGATTGATTAAGAATATATATGAACCATTTGTATGTGATTGGCAGGAGGGGCGTCAAAGAAGGACACAAAATCGACAACGTTGTTAGTGGCAACACAGAATGGTTTGACAGAAGGGGTGAAGAGAATCCTTGAAGTTTATCCGGTGGCTATTTATGACAAAACTAACCCAAAGAAAAGAAACATAGTCCTTTTGGCTGTGCGAAAAAGACAAACCCATGTTTTTAAGTCGTTGATGAATCACCCTCTTTGGCATTCACTCGCAGAAGCTGTGGACATCAACAGAAATAATGTACTGCAAATGGCTTCCTTTCTTCTCCATCACATGCCTCGGCAAATTCATGGATCTGTCATGCAAATGCAATATGAAGCCCTCTGGTTTAATGTACAAAAAACTATATATACTCCCCTTACCCTAAACGTAAGAGCTAGTTTAGGGGATTATTTTGGTTTACATGTTTTGTTGTTATTGTGATGATCACTAGTTCATGTTATAAATTTTGTCTTGTTAAAGTATGTGAAAGAAAACGTGCCAGCTCACCTGGGTTCTCAGGAGAACAAAGATGGAGACACTCCAGATGAGATCTTCGCAGAACAACACAAGGACCTCCTTAAGCAAAGCAACGAATGGATTAAGGACACTTCTGGTTCTTACGCTATAGTTGCAGCACTTATTGTCAGTGTCACCTACGCCACATCGTACACTGTCCCAGGTGGCACTGATGACAATGGAAGACCTCACTTACGAGGCCATCTTACATTCGACATCTTCGTTTTCTCCGTTCTGGTTTCCTTCTGTTCCTCTCTAACTTCCTTGGCCGCCTTCCTAGCTGTCCTCAGTTCTCGAAAGCAACCCGTCGATTATGTTAGAAGTTTGCCTCTGAGGCTTTGTTTTGGCTTAACTACGTTCTATCTATCGGTTGTCTCAATGTTGGTCTCTTTCTGCGCTGCGCATTTCTTTGAACTTGATCATCGAATCAAGCATAAGATTAGCCCTTATGCTTTGGTGTTGATTCCACTGTGTCTGCACACTTATGAACAGATTCCACTGTACTGGAATCTTCTCAGAACCACTCTTGCCAAGGAGCCTCGGCCAAGATACGTGGGAGACAATGTTACTATGTAGCCAGATCCAGCCATGCATGATGTTTCTTCTTCTTCTGGTTCTGCAATATTTGTTTTTTGTGCCATGTTTGATAATCTCTCTTCTCTATTGTGAGTTCCTGTATGTGAAATCTTGGAAGTTTTTAATTCTTAATTTGTTACAAAGTTTACTTTTTGGAAATGGGGCATTAATTTTTAACATTAATCACTAAAACTGGGACTTATATAGCTCCCACATGGACACGCTTTTTTGTTACGTACGTAAGAGTTTACTTTTATTCATCAGGATGGGACATGGAGAGACACGTTGAAGAATCTTCTATCATTTCTCTTACACGAACAAGAATAATAAAAAAAATGAAGAATCTTCTATCATTTCTCTTAAAAAGGTGATTACTAAAGTCACACACACACACAGATATATATGTATAAAAATCATTAAAGTCATATAAAAATAATATCTAAAGTCACATTTGGAACGCTCTAAAACAAAATAAAGTGTGGTAACGTGTAATCACCACTAGTTAAAAATTGTACTCATTTTATGATTAATATAGAATCTAATTTGAAAGTTGATGTTTGTTTTACTTATAAAATCTATTTCACATCTTTATCAATTTTTCTTAAATTAAACTTATTAATATTTCCTTAATAATAATAATAATCAAGAGAGGAAATGAGAGAATTAAGAAAAATGATTAAGATGTTTTAAAATATATATATATCATATTAACTAATGTAACTAACATTTTTAATCTATCTAACTTTTGTGAATTAAGTCTTACATTAAGGATTAGAGGAGTATTATTTTAAGAAAGCCCTATATATTAGAATCAATAGTGTCACAGTTTTCATGAAAATATTCATAGTTTATTAGATAATCATACTCGTTGGCCAAAAAGAAAAAGAAGAAGAAGAAGAAGATAATCATACTCAGGGTGGTGTTTATGAATAGCGCCCAACGTTACTCGTTTTATGGGCATTCAAACTCAATGCTTTTAGTTTTTAGGAAAAGTATAAAAGATAAAGTCAGATTATCATTTTATATGTAAAAACTTTTGTTATATCATATATAATGCAAACCGTATTCAAATTTTTTTTCAGAAAATTTGCAATCAACTCAGTTCTCAGAAACTTGGAATATATGGAGGCAGATCATACGTTCCTGCACACTTTAACGAAATTGGTTAACGTTTTAATTTCCTTGATCTCTTCGTCTTTTATATTTCAAAACAAAATATCATATAAATTTCAGAAAAATCTCTCTTGAGTTGATATTTCCAGTTGAATTCTCTTGGTGGGGTCCAATTTTAGGAAAATATATGTTTAAAATATATAAATGTGAGTGATTTTACCTCAAAAAGTGCAAACGTTTCGCACGAGAAGGAAAAGAAACGTGTTGTTCAATTTTCCTTTTCTTTTCAAAAGAAAGAAAATTAACTTCCCCCTTTTAATGGAGGAACAATATGATAAATAATACAAAGGATTAGATTACAAGAAAGGGGTTAAAAAAAAATTACAACAATAGAGAAGCCATGGAAAAAAAAATTAACTAATACATCTTGATCCTATATTTAAGATCAAGTAGAGCTTCAAAGTCTGCTGTATAATATTATATATATAAATATATATATCACCATTATTTTACGATTAACGTAGACTTTGAAAGGTTTAATTAATATATTACATTATGTTAATTAATTGCTATTCTCACTCAATTCTTCTGGTCTGTTACCCATTGTGTTTCTGTTCAACGAAATGTCACAACAAACAACAGTTAACTCTGCTTTCTTCTTGTTCCTTTGGGAACATACGATAAAATTGGAACGAAACTGTGCTTTCTTCTTTCTCCAAAGTAACATTCTATACATGGCTTGTGCTATAAGAAAGCTAAGTTACCCGATAAGGACGTAACGACAATAATGCATCGCTTGTATTATAAGAAAGCAACTGTTCAACTTTGCTCCTTTAATTGGTATCAATAGAGAAAGATAACTGGAGATTTGTATTGCAAACTAGCAATCGTACTTATTTCTCTCTGCTTCTAGCTACCTACTGAACAATCACTTCAAGTTCCACATCAGTAGCAGTATAAGGAGACAAATGGCTTCTTCTTATATGGAAGCAAAGCATAATCTTTACAGAGACCTGTTGGGACGAAATTGGGGTGAAGTGGTGGAGATAATGAGGCAGCATCCAGACGTTCATGCCACTAAGATCACCAAATCAGAAGACAATGTACTGCACTTGGCTATCACTTTTCATGCACCAGAGGCCATTGTTATGGGGCTCATTGATGATGTTCAGAAGAACAACCCAGAAGTTGCCATGGAGATTATCACAGCCCAGAATAAGCAACAGGATACTCCTTTGCACTGTGCTGCCTCTCGAGGCTCAACCTCTATATGTGAACGGATACTACTATTTGATGAAAGGCTTGCTCTTAAAAGCAACAAGGAAGGAGAGACGCCTCTCTTCCTAGCTGCTCTTAACGGTCACAAGGATACTTTCCAGTATCTTCATTCTGTTTGTAGTAAGATCTCCACAACCAGGTTTTCAGAACTCTGGAGAAGGGAGAATGGTGACACTATTCTTCACTGTACTATTCAAAGAGAATACTTTGGTACGTTAAGCTCATCATTTATATGTGTGTACATATATATATATATATGTATGTATATAGTCTGAAGCCTTTTTGAATTGATTTCTGACATATATTGTGTTTGTAAACTTGCTCTGCCGGCTAGGACTGCCATATCATATAATTCGCCTCTATGGTGATGATAGTGAAAAGATCATCGTTAGCTATGAGAGCAAAGAAGGAGTTACGCCTCTTCAAGTCCTTGCTTCTGCTCCATCAGCTTTCAGAAGTGGTACACGCCTAACCTGGTTCCAAGGACTCTTGTACAGGCGTAAGTATATGACATTTTGTCAAGTATTATTGTAAATCCTAGTGTGCTTGATAATTTAATTAGTTATGTGATTGCTATGACTTGTCTCAGTATATTGTTTGTCAACTGAAGACTTAGATGCAGAGCAGCTGAAAATTCATGATCAAACTCAGAATGAAGATTTGGAGGTCGGAAAATCTGACTCCTTGAGGAAGATCCATGATGCCGCACCAGAACTGTGCCTGAAGATGACGAAGCTAGGTTCATATATATGCCTTCCTCAATAATAATCTTTGATGCTTTAATCATTTTTTTCCTTTGCTGTGTTGTTGATGACTTTCTTTTTCTTTGGCTTTCATGTATTTGACTAAAAGGTCAATAAAGAAGACAAAAGAGATACATCTATGGGGTACGCTAATCATGAACAACCTTTTAGAGCTAAATTCTGAGTACAAGTACAACGAAAATCAGATTGCATTCTGTCCGAGCAATGTTACAAATCTTACTGATGGGCAAGGTAAACCAACCTATATGTGAAAGATGATGTTAGAACCTTTCGTTCACATTTGGACTCGAATTTTCTGATGAGTTTGTTAATGAAACATCATTGGCAGGAAAGTCGTCGTCATCCTCGAAAAAGGACAATAAATCGACAGCATTGTTGGCGGCAACAAAGTACGGTCTGCTGGAGCTGGTGAACAAAATCCTTGACATACATATGGCAGTACAAAAAAGGCAAACCCACGTGTTGAGGGAATTCATGAAACACCCACTTTGGGATAGCCTCATAGAAGACGTGGATGCCGATGGAAATAACGTGTTGCACATGGCAGCATTTCTACCAAAACACATGCCTTGGGAAGTTTATGGCTCTGCACTCGAAATGCAGTATGAAGCCAAGTGGTTCCAGGTAGAAAACACCTAAACTTTAGTTATGTGACTGTAGCTGTTTGGAACTTGTTAAAATAATCACTTTTGACACTTTATGATACAAAAATTCCTTCACATTATGTAATATGGTGCAGAATTGTCTTTTTAAGCTAAGTCAAGCAAGCACTAAGTGCATCTAGGAGCATGTTTGGCTTTGTTTTTATATGGTGAAAAATCATGTTTAATTTGGATTTTGAAGCTGAAAAGTCCATTTACTGCCAAAATACTAGTTTGATCAATGTTTAGACAAGATGAATTTCTTACCTCAAGGCCTTTGATATTAGATTCTTCTTAAAATTTGAATATTTTAAAACTGATCTTTCAACATATCATTCAAACAAGTTTCTGTCAAATTGGCTTCTTTATAAAAACCTATCCAAATAAACTACACTGCACCAATTGACTTTTACCTCCGCTACTTCAGTTTGCAGAAGTTAATTGGGATTAAAAAAAAAATCACTTTTGCAAAAACATTAGTCCAAAGGAAATAAGATAGATCTAACATTGACATTATAATATATCTGAATTGGATTGCAGTATATGAAAGAACACGTACCGCCATATCTATACGCCATGGAAAACAAAGAAGGTGACACTCCGGAGGAAATCTTCGTGGCAGAGCACAAGAAATTATTGAAGGAAAGTAACGAGTGGATGAAGGACACTTCAAGTTCTTACTCCATAGTTGCGGCACTTACTGCTGGAGTCACCTACGCAACATCGTACACTGTCCCAGGAGGCACAAATGATACTACTGGAAGACCGCCGTTAGAAGGCCAAAGGGCACTAAATGTTTTTCTGATCGCCATTTTAGTCTCGTTTTGCTTCTCTACCGCTTCCTTGGCAGCCTTCTTGGCGGTTTACAGTTCGCGGAAGCAACCAGATGATTTTCGTAGGAACTTGCCGCTGAAACTATGTTTTGCGTTAACGTCATTTTATGTCGCTATCGTCTCAATGATAGTGTCTTTTGTTGCGGCCCATTCACTTGAAGTTGACCCCAAAATGAAAGCTAAGCTTTTCCCAATGTACAGTTTGATTTTCCTACCATTGTTGTTTTACACATTAGCTCAGATTCCGCTCTACTGGGATCTGGTCAGAGCCTCTTTCAAGAAGGTGCCACAGCCAAGATACGTGGGAGAGAGCTTAACGATCACTATTCCCAAAAAAGAAGAAGCAGAATGTAGGGTATTGTTTCTTTTATTGACTGTACAATTTTTGTTTTTCATACTGCCATTTGATTGAATCAGATTCCAATATTGTTGTGTCTCAATTAGCTCTTCTTAAAGGTTTTTTTTTTTTTTCCATTCATTCAAATTCAAATTCAGTTGGTCATATCGTACTTTATGTAATTACGTCCGTTCCAGTTAGATGATGAATTCTCAAATTCCTATAAGTAAGCATCGGATTGTGTTCGTAGACGCTTTCACATGTTCTATGCATTAACATATGAAGGACAAATATTCAAATAATGTCTGTTAATTTCTTCTTCCAATTACTTAAAATAGCAATATCATGGCCCCATGGGAGGAATATCACTTTCGTCTCATCCGTTGGAGGGCGACTTTTTCATATATCCCAACTTGTCTGTAATTGTTTTGTTCATCAATTGTGTTTTAATATTAACAAAATGGCTTTAATAATACTTATCAAAATTTTGCACACTTAAGTCTCATTTGGTACAAAGTATTAAAAATAGAGGGTAAAAATTAGGATTGGATTAAAAAAAATCTAGTAAAACAAAGTTTAATATGAGAGATTGCTTGTTACTTGGGATTGAGCAAACCCATCTAGATGAGATTGGAAAATATTATGGGAAGAGATGGTATTCTCCAATCCCGCCTACATGCTCAATCCCATAAAATAAGCAATTACTTGTATTAAACACTTTTTAATGATATTTTTTAATCACGATCTCAACCCTTTCCTCTTATTCTCAATATTTCATACAAAACATGACCTCATTGTCTTCTAATTATTTCTAACGCTCAGATTTATCATAAAAACGGGAAAAGAAATTATATACATATGCAGTTTAAGGATCGGCTGTGCTTATTTTGGTCGTTTTCTTTTCGTTTGGGTGTGTGTGAGAGTCCAATGGTATTGGGTTTGCCTTTTACATATAAGTCTGATCTGTTTCCTGCTTTGGATATTTGTGGTTTAAATGAAATTGGAGTGACGACGTCCAGAATAAAAAACACAAAAGTCTTATATGGTTTACATGATAATTTGTTTTATTAAGAAATTTTTTGTGGCAAACAAAATTCAATTATATGGAAGGAGGCCTGTTTAAGAGGTTAACAACCTAGCAATTCTTTTACAGTCTTGTTCATATTATTTATTCATCAATAGCATACCGTACATATATGTAACACCTTATGTTTAAATCAATTAACTTTCCTTGTGGAAGCATTTGGAATCACTTTTGAAGGCTACAATTGATGAAAAATCAAGTTTGAAAATTTTCATTTACGGGTTACTATTCATTGTCACCTTAAAATGTGACAAACTTCGAAAATTCATAACTAATTGTAGAAAAATTGAATTTGAGTGATTCTAAGTTCTATAGAAAGCTCCTTGGATAAAATTTTGAGAAAAAATAGTTTCTGAACTGATTGCCTTGAAATTCGAGCTCAATTTCCTTTGAAAAAGTTACTGTTTATTTGGTCATTTTCAGATTTTACTTTATTTTTGCCTAACTTTGAAAAGTCATAACTTTCTGCTCAGTTATCGGAATCGGGAAAACTACCCCTCATTTTAAAGAGAAACCTCATATCTCTTTACTTGTCAAATATTATGACCTAGCTCACTCGTTTGATAGGTCAAACTGGAGCTACAAACTCACTGCTTCAGGACTTACGTTTTATCTCTTAACATCTCTTTAATTCCTTTTATTTCTTTGGCATACATAACATGGCCTTACTCTTTCCCGTTCATGCTCATACACTTTCATTCATGCCATAAATATTATAATTAAATACATGGCATCATTGGCATCCATAACATAGTTCACAAAATAGTAGAATTATACATTTATCAACAGTCTCAACTATTAACAAGAATAATTCTGCGCTTACTTCTCCTTGCTTCTCATGCCATTATTGCCCATCATTGATTGACCTAAATAGTTGGTTAGGGAGGGGTGAGATTCGGGGGAATCTCAGTAGCAAACACTACCCATAAGCATGCAAGACATAATGCACATGCATGACATGTTATAACATTAACACATGAATGCCATGGAAAGTAAGCTAAAGCATTTCATGCTTCCATAACATATTGCCAAGGCAAAACATAACATAAAATTGAAAACATAACTTTGCAAACATTTCATCATAGCTTAGTCACATCATGGCAACACAATCACATCATGCAAGCATACATATCAAGCACACAGTATAGGTAAGTTCACTACCTTGCATCTCAAGCTTACCTCTTGCTTTTTCCTTTGACTCCCTTGACTTTGCAACCATGTGGGCATTCGGTTAACATCACCAAACATCCTCTTGGATATTCCAAAGGTCCTAAACATAGTCACATTGATCATACAATCCATTAGGACCACTAGATTACATAAAGTTCAAGACTAGCTTTCTTGAACCTCAACCCTTTCTCTTAGTCTTAGGGTTTTCTTTCCAACTTTTCTAACATAAATCTTATCATTTTCCATCCTTAAGATCTATTTCTTTTCAATTAGGACCACTTTAGATGGCCTTAAATTCAAGAATACCAAATCTGGAAATTTTGCTTCGCGGGTACTGTTCACGCAGAATTTCCAGAATTTTTGCTCAACTTTAAAAATTCATAATTAATTCTATAAAAATCCAAATTGAGTGCTTCCAAGTCTCACTGGAAGATCCTTAAGTTAAATTTAAAGGAAAAAATAGTTTCAGGAACCAATTCTACTCTGAACAGTACCGGAACTATACGGAACTCGAAACTCTTCCAAAAGTTCAACACTGTTTCCAGATTTCAAACCCTAACTTTGAAAAATCACCATAAATCGTACACATATCCAAATGAAGTGTTCTACCTATGGATTTAAAGCTCACAGGGTGTACTTTAAGTATGCAAAATTTCAGAATCAGATACTCACAGTAACTAATCCGAAATAGGCATACAATCAGGTGCTATAATTATCACATACCTTGTTTTAGAGTTTGATCTGGCTTGGAACCACTTGGCCTTTCTTTCTCCCTCTTCTTTCTCACTCTAGAAACCATTTTGCAAGAGCTTCCCCATGGATTCCTTATTCTTGGACGAAATAGTAGGGAGGGGAGGGGGTATTTATAGAAAAGCAGACTGAATCTAGACCGTTGATCTTAAAAATACGTGGCTCGATCTGGACTGTCCATTTTCTCTTTTGATCTTACGATGACAAGTGTCTTATGACATCATGCTTACCTCATCATAATGACATCATGCTTACATCATCAAGCCACATGTCTTTAATCCAACCGCACATGTGTCTTGCATCCGACCGTACACGTGTCTTCCATCTAGCCGTACACGTAATAGTTTCTTTTTCTCATCTACCATACACTTGTCGCTTTCATGTCCTTTCATCATTTATGGCATTAAAATAGGGAGAAAATAAATGGAAAATTCGTGTAAAAATATTTCCTTAATTATTTCTCCACCTATCAAGCCAATCTTGCACTGTGACGGATATTTTTTGGGTCCTGACTTACCCTGTACCACTGGGACAACTTCTTCTTAAAATTCTGGCCAATAAAAGGTACATATATGGCGCCATCTTAGAGGAGTATAGATGAAAATAATTAGCTCTACTGACAGGCTACTTAACCTTACTGAGTCATGCAGTAGAGATTTCACTATAACGGGTAGACAAAAGACTGTCTAAAATATTCCCATACTGCATTCTGATTTTTATGCTGTCCATAAATATCTTCTGGTGACTCAGCATGATGACTCGTAGGTGTCATAATTACGCTTGGTGACTCAGCATGATGACTCGTAGGTGTCATGATTACGCTTGGTGACTCAGCATGATGACTCGTCGGTATCATGATTACGCTTGGTGACTCAGCATGCTGACTCAGCATTGTCATGATGGCTCTTAGATATTTTCTTTGGTTTTGTCTCCTATTTAGGGGACAAAATTATTTAATATTTGACTGGAGCATTTTATTCAATCCAGAGCTCCAAAAATTCATCCAAAAATATCATAAAATTCCTCATATTCTAGAGAAAATTAGTGAATTTTCTCACGTCATAACTCAACCAGTAGCCCCACTTAAAAATCATTCTTTAAAATGCCCTTTTTTGGCACAACTGGCTTTTAAGTATTCTTAAAGCCATTTTGCTGGTCTTCTGGGGATGAGACTAATTTTATAATTTTCTATAGTCTCTTAGATCATACATCCCCATTTTACCATAATTTTTTGAGGTTTCCTTATGACTCAAACAATTAAATCTACCTCTACATCTCAAATTGAGCTATAAACTTACAAATTCCTTTTAAGTTACCTCAGGGGTATTTTCATCATCTCTCTTCACAAAAGAGTCTTAGAATATTATTTTCCATTTTTTGGGATTTTCTTAGAATTTTCTAAGTACTTTCCATTTTTACCCCTGATGGCCGTAACTTTCTGAATTTATGGTTTTACCCCTGCTTAGGCTCAACATCATAAAACCATCTCTTTGAGGCTTCTAACTTAACCTTTGGTCTGTATCTAACCTCTTTTCTCTTTCTGGGCCTTTGAGACTTTACTGGAGCCTCTAACCTTGATTACGTTTTAGCCCCTTAAAACTTTCACTTTGCAGTTTAGTCTCTGAAACTGCTTTAACTTCCTTTCTCATCTTTAGAACCTCTACTAAAAAGGGGTCTGGTGGCCTATCCCATTCAGGCTATTTCTAGTACTTCTAGGTCTAAAAATCGGGATGTTACAATATATCCCTCATTAATTATAAATTTCTAAATAAAAATACGAGAAATACGTACTGATTTCTTTCTTTGTTTTTTTTTCTCCCCCATCTCTCCATATATACACTACGTACGTCACAAAGATGTTCTTGTACCGCGCGACCACGCAAAGTTGCAAACTCAGGAAATTGAAATATAACACGATTTAATTACATGGCTATGCTTTCTCTGGGAACACTTAATAAGGACCCGTTTTCTTCTTTTTCCAAAGTATCATTGTACGTATGGCATGTATTATTATACAATCTCATATCATTAATATAAGAACTACTACTTCCGGTCCTTAATATAAGAACTA